AAAAAAGTTTCAGAGGAAAAAATTGCAGAACATCCCCTTGGCAGGAGTAAGAGTTTTCCACTACCACTCGCCCTAAGGGCATTGACATGCCCCATCAGGAGAATAGAACTGGGTGTAATCATCAGAACAGCTCTGCCTACTCCTCACACACAAAACCTTGTCTGAAATTCACAGAAGTCTTCAGACAAAGGAAAATTATGTCTTAGTTTGAAAAGTATTCATTGAATCTTTACTTTCATGGATCTTTTAACCTGCTTAGAAAACCTACTTTCTAAGAGACCCTAAATTGACTCATAAAGGTCACAAAGCAAGTTAAAGGAAGTTTTTTTATTTATTCAGGTTCCTTAGGCAAGACAGCTTTACTTAACCTTAGTTTCCTGTCTAAAATGAGGACATGGGTTGGTCAAGATGATGTGAAGGTCTGTCTCATTAAGAGAATGCTAGAATATGGCAGATTTTTTAAAGCATTTGGGATTTATGCTTCTTTAGTACCTTTCCACAGAGAGATCAGTTTCTAGTGGAATGAGAAATGTAAATGTACAACTGTAAGGTAGCGCGTTTCCCAGGTGTTGAGGGACTTCGGGTCTTGGCCTAGAACCAGCAGACTTGGCATGTGAGAAACAGCGCCTGTAAAGACTGTTGAAAACACACCCTTCAGGGGTCTGTGGCTGTAATTATTATGGTTCGTTTTGTTTTTTCTTGTATTAATTTTTAGTGTGTTTGAGAACTTTTTAAAATACGGATTCCTAGACTCCACTCCAGATGCATTGAATCTGACATGAAGAGCGGGTCCTGAGATTCTGTAGTTTATAAAAGGCCCCCAGATCCATCTTTTTTAATTCCTAAGTAATTGTCTCCCAGTTAGAATGGCTGTTGTAGAATGGAAAAAAGTCGAGAATTTGAAGTCAGTTTTTAAGGGCTTCTCGGTTATTGGTTTCACTAGCATTTGACATTTAGGTCATTCTGGACTATTTGGCCAACAATTAAATGTATATCAATACAATTTCTGTACAGCAAGGAGGCAGCCTTCATATAATTAAAATAGATCTTTAGGGGAAAAGTGGCTGGTTTCTTTATACCAGTAAAATTATCATTTTTAATGCTGCATATATTTATATATGTGTGTGTGTGCGTATGTATATACACACCTTAAACTGATTCCATGTTAAACTAATAGCTAATATGTTGACTGTGTTACCCAAAAAAGAAATTTAACTTCGGTATTTATTGCCTAAAAATTACATTTTCCATCCATTTCAAGTTCTCTGAGCTTCCACTGAAACATCAAAATAAATGCCAAGATACTACTACTAGTTAGTTTATCCTCAAACTACTACTACTAGTTTGAATGTTAGATTTGCTGGCCTTAAATGTGGCAGGTATATGAGAGTATGAGCTAGGGAGGGCTTGTATATGAAATTGTTTAAATAGAAAAAGGAATTAAACTTTCAGTGTAAAAGAAACACCCTGCTTTTCATTGCTGGTGTGTTAGCTGCCCCAGTGCGGAACTGTGGTATTGCTTATAGGCTGTTGTGAGCTCCGCCACACTAGGAGCTTTCTGCTTCTGTAGGATCATGACGTAAAGTGCCACAGACATCAAAGGAACATTTTCAAGTAAATTTTCCATTTAGATTTATAGGCTCATTATTGAACTTGTATTCTTTTCATGTTCAGGGTCATGCGGGATAAAATTAATTATGACAATCAGAAATAATACAGTAAAAACATTTAAGTTGGTTTTAAATGTTATCTTAATGGGCATGTTAGCTGGTGGAGGTCACTAAAGTTTAGAATGTGGTTACTTTACAATAGTATGAACAGAATTACATTAAAATGAAAGGTCTGGCTCCTTCAGTCTGAATATTGCTGTTTGTTGCATAAGCATTTCCAGCGGCAGTTTTACACTAACTTAATGTGTCCCTGCAGTCAGACGCGAGGGTGATCTTTGCCTCTTGAGATTATGAACTGGCAGTCTCTGCCACTGTGTGACCACATTTTCTACTTAGCCTATGGGGTTGTTTCATGAACTGGAATTCAGAAAGCAAACCATACTCTCCTTGAATTTAAATCTCTGAAATGCAGAAAAATCAGAACTAAATTTGAAGGTTTAACAAAGAAATAAATCTACTTCTCAGACAGACTGGTTGTTTTGCCAGTTTGTATATAACCAGTGACAGAGTTACAATTCAGTATGTAGGGTAAGTCTGGAAAATGAAGATTTGACATAAAAATATCATATGCAATTCTGGGGGGAGTCTGTACTTATTCTAATTTTTAACTGTCCTTGTGTAAGACTTCCAAAAACTACCTTAATTATCTCTTAGAAAGTCAGGGAAAGCTGTTGTACATTTATTTTTACTGTTCAGTTGTGTTGGTACTGATGTGTACTCATTTAGTGTTTTGAACACAATGCTGGGCACTTTTCATTCTCTTCCTTCCTGTGTAATCCAAATTGTATGTTTGTCCAGCAGAAGAGTTTTTATTACCCTGTGGATAAGTCAATTATCTTGCCTACTACTTTAACAGATTTTTGTGTTTGTGCTGTTTAGAGACAAATTCATCTCTTATGTAACGTGATTGCAAAAGTTCTTACTTTAGCTGCTTTTTTTCCTCCCCAATT